GTAGGGGGAGACTAGTAGATGTGGGGAGCCATAGATGACACAGAAACATGCATATTGATTGGGTTGCTGACTGTTTCATCAGACACATGCGCTTACTTTTACCCTCCCTTATTCCCTTCCCCCCAGAGAACACACAACCTCTCAGAAAGAGATTAATGCCTGTTCCTTGGTCAGAATTTTCACCACTTTCCCTGGCTTATACCTAGAGACAAACACTTTAGCTGCAGAAGCAACTCTACTTGTGATTAGTTTAACTTGGACCTGGATGGGGATGGAGGGGGTGGTCTCTGCCTCTTTCAGAGAGTAACACTTTCATACAGCGGAAAGAGACCCCTAGGGCCTTCTGGTTCAAGGTGCTTATTTTACAGATGAGGAGGCTTAGTGAAGGCAATTGATTTGCCCAGGTCAAAGGTCACCTGGGTGATAAGCATCTGAGGGAAGAATTGGACTCTGGTCCTTTGACTCTAGATCAAGTGGATTTTTTTCCACTGACTATTCTATCCCACCAAGCTGCTGTGAAGGAGTTTTTTGACACACTGAAGACGTTCCTCTGGCTCTTTTAATATCTCATAGCTACCAGAGTATCCCCCAGGCTAACCGTGTGTGGTCACAGGACTGCTCACACTCTTTTCTGGTGTGTATGGCCCTGATGGGATTTTTATGCCATTTCTTGAGAACAAATCACAGCTGATAATATACTATAAGCTATTCAGGATTATAGATAAAGATAAATTATAGATAAAGCTTGTAGATAGATCATAAAGTTTAGCACTGGAACGGATCTTAAAAGGCCATCTAGCCCAATCTCAGCTAGGTTTTGCAACAGACAAAGCACTGGGCCTGAAGTCAGGAAGATCTGAGTTCAAATCCAGCCTCAGACATTTACTAGTTGTGTGAACCTGGGCACATCACTTAACGCCCATTTGCATCAGTTCCTCATCTGTAAAATGGGAACACACTGGAGAAAGAAATGGCAAACCACTGTAGCATCTTTGCTAAGAAAACCCCACAAAATCCATGCGGTCACATAGAGTTGGACATAACTCAACAACATTCATAAATGAGGAAACTGAGGCACAGGGAGATGAAATAACTTGCCTAAAGTCACCAGGGCCTGGCTTCAGTCCCTTGTCTGTGAACTTCAAATACAACACTTCTGCTTAACCATGTTGCTTCCTGCCTTGTCTCTACATTGTCATTTGGGTCATTTGTGATACTGGTTCTTCTAAGGTCATGGTGTTCCAGACTGAGCAGTCATACAGCATCACTGAGAAAAATAATGGCATTAAAGGGATGGGCTTTTGCAACAGCATGCAAACAGTATCATGTTCCCTGTTCCCTGTGTGGGAAGCTCTGTGAGCCTGCTTTGCTCATAAACTCCCAGGACTCAAAGGACCGGGATTAAGTCATCCTTTCCGCCAGGACCACTCAAATCATGCTGAGCACACACATACAACCTCTGGGGACAATCAGGAATGGGAACTTGCCAAAAACTGAGCCCCAAAGTCACATTGCTAAACACTCATGCTCACAGTTGGGAAATTTTTCTCTTCTGCTTAACCTAATTTCTATCTTGACAATTGGGGTGGGAGGATGACTTGTCAAGAAAGCTTCTTGACGGAGATAGAATCTAAATTCTGGCCTCAGTTTTCCTAGCATCATAGAAAGCCAGAGACAAAAGGGAGCTGAAATCACATGACCCACGGCCCTCGTTTTACAAATGACCAACTGAGGGTCAGGTTTGTGTAACCTTGCAAAGGTTACATAATTTGCACCCAGGTCTTCTGACTCCTAATCTAGTGCGTTTTCCCCCCTCTACAAGTTTATCTTATCCAATACTTTGGTTCCAATTAGATACTAGGAGGCAAAAGTATTTACTTGACTTCAAATATTTTGTGGGTTGAATGCCCTTGGGGTCTGCCAAAGAGTTGGAGACAGCAATCAGGATAAAAATTTCTGGTGTGTCCAGACCCAGGGACTGAAGGGTTCAGGGCTATGTCTGAAAGAACATTCTCTCATCCTGAGGTGTCACAGTGAAACTATTCTGATTCTGTAGGACTTCGTTAGAAAAAGGCCTAAAAATTCTGGATGTCATGTAAAGAAAATTTATTGAAAACCTAAATTTGTATATTAGTATTTTTTTAAATGAACTAATATCCCTAGACTTGACACCTGAGATGTTTTAAACTACAGAAAGTCTCATGTTTTGACTGCCTTTGGCAGTCCATTTTGTGTTTCTAAAATTATTCAGAGGTTCTTAACCTCAAGTAAGGGGGATTTGTTTTTAATTTATCCATGTCATTATATTGGTTTCCTTTCTGCATTCTTCCGAAAGAATTTTTTTTTAATTGGCTTCTCGTATATTTTATTTTCTGCATTTAGAAACATGATTCCAAGGATGGGTCTAAAGGCTTTACCAGACTGCCAAAGGGCTCTGGGATACAAAAGCTAAGAAATTCTGATTTAAATAAACCCTCTTTGCCAGATGACACTGCTTGAGAAGCTTGTAAGCCTGGCCCTGGTATATGGAAGTATTCTTTGCCCTCCCCTCCCTCATACCTTAGTCCTAGCTTTTCAAGGTCCAGCCCAAGTCCTGCTACATCCCTGCTCTCTGCTGTATGATTTCAGGCTCTTTCATACAGTGTTTTACTCAGCTCAAGCTTCCATAGGATTTAGAGCTGGAAATTGCCTTGAGATCATTTAGTCTGTCCTCTTTTTTGTATGAGGATGAGGAATCTGGGACCTAGAGAGGTTAAGTGATTTTCCCAAAGTAGCATTGGTAGTTAAGTAGCAGAGGCAGAGATTGAATTCGGTCCCTGTGTGTAAATTCAGAGCTCTTCCCACATTCAGAGCTCAGAAAAACCCAACTCAGTTACCTCACAGAAAAAGTATTTGTCATCAGATATAAACCAGGAAAAGTGTAGAGAATTCTGATCAAATGGAGTTTCCTTGGGTAATAAATATCTGAGAGCACACATTATGAATCTATGATCTTTGGGATGTGTAGACATGTTCAAGTGTCCCTACATGTGCCCAACTGCTTCTGTATGCACCAACTATCACTCTACTTTACCTGCCTCTTCTACTTACATAGTTACATAACTTACATCATGCCAGAAGGGACCTTAGCAATCATCTAATTCGAAGATTCTCAAAGGGTGGTCCAGGGACCCCTGTCCCCAAGGCCTTCTCACAGCATCCATGAAGTCAAAACTATTTTTGTAGGAATACCAAGATGCTGTCACTTGTAGTGCACAAGTATCAATAGACACAACCCACATAAATCAAAGCTGTTTGGGCAGTCAATAATTTTTAAGAATGTGAAGGGATCTTGAGATGAAAAAGCTTGAGAACCACTTATCTAGTTCAACTCCCATTTCACAGATGAGGAAACTAAGAATGGCAAAATATTTTGCATAACTTAACTCAAAATGTCGACAGTGTGATATGGTAACCCAAAAAACTCATGTGACCTTGGGCTCTATTGACAGCAACAGTTTCCAGAAATTTAAAAAAAAAATAAGACCACTAAATTAAGGTGGTAGTTCCACGGACCCTATCCTGGCCAGACCATAGCTGGAACATTTTATTCAGTTCTGGGCCCCACATTTTAGAGTAGACATGGGTGAGCTGAAGAAGAAGGCAACCAGGATGGTGAAAGGTCTTGATTTTGTGCCTTCACTAGAGATGGCTTTTCTTGCTATCGTAAGAAAGAGGAATTCAGTTGGTCCTAGAGGCCAGAAGTAAGACAAATGGATGGATGATACAGAGAAATTTAGACTTGATATAAGGAAAAACTTCCTAACAATTAGAACTATTCAAAATTGGAATAGGATGCCTCTGGTGGAAATTATTCTCCCCATCCCAGACCTAATAGAGGGCCTTCAGGAAAATTCTAGATGATCTTTTTTTTTTTTTTGCTAGATGACCGTTTGTCAGGAATATTGTAGAAGGGGGTTCTTTGGGAAGTATGGATTCAATTAGGTGGTTTCTGAGGACTCTTGCAACTCTGCCATGTAAATGTCAGATATCACTATTAGTACTATCATCACTACTACTCCATCTCCCCACTCTGTCTGCCATGCCTGGAATTCTCTTCCTCTCTATCTCCTGTCTTCACTGGCTTCCTTCAAGTCTCAGCTAAAATCCCATCTTCTTGGAAAAAGAAGCCTTTCCCAGTCCCCCATAATGTCTTCCCTCTCTTACCTCCAATTTATCCTGTATCTTTTTAATATGTTCACCCTCCCATTAAATTGTGAGAGTAGGGGCTGAGTTTGGGGGTTGTTGACATTTTTGGTTTTGGTTTTTGTTTTGTTTTTTGCCTTGCTTTGTATCTATAATACAGTTTCTGGCATGGAGTAGGCATTTAATAGATGCCTGTTGACTTGACTATGTAATATGTATGGGTATGTATATGTGTCTTATATCTTATTTCTCTTGTTCCTCCATCAAGGCAGGGGCCGTGTCTTATTCATGTTTATATTCCCTGAAGCCCTCAGTATAGTCTTAGACATACTAGGTGTTCAATAAGTATCTGTTGAATGAACATATTGAAATTTATCCTGACTCAGTGACCCCATTGTTCCCAATCCTGCTTATAAATCAGTGTTGAGTGAGGCATCACCCAGTTTGCAGCTTTTATATTACCTGCTATCCATCATGTAGCAGGATACCCCACACCTGTCACAGGTTATCTCCTATCTGTTAAACCACAAAGAGATAATTAGAGAGAAGCTGAGATGCAATGGCCCATCACCTGCTGATGAGGATCTATCCAAATTGTCTTTACCTTATTACTAAAGTTATCCATAAAAGCTGGCTCCATCTTGAATTCCTTGCTGATCTCCAGCCCCATTGTGTTGCTACCTTGACATACTTTTAAACTCCTTTTAATTCTCTTTTTCCCGAGTCTTCATTAATCTAAATGAAGGCCCGAACAAAGAATTTTCCTTTCAACAAACCATATGGAATGAAGATACACAAATACACAGGTCACCAGATGAATTCTATAGACATATTATTCCAAGTTATTTTCTTTCTTGACATTTAGATGTTCTCTGTACAGTATTTACATTAAATATTTTCCTGAGAGTGACTAGCAGTAAAGAAGGTTCCTTTCCTCCACATTCTATTCTCCCATAGGGGAAGGATAATGAGGAGGAGAAGAGGGGAGATAAAGGGAAAATAGAAGAGGCAGTGCTGGGAGGTAGTGAATTTCCCCTTATTAGAGGTTTTCTAGCAAAAGCTAGAAGACCACTGGTCCAGTTTGTGGCAGTAGGAGCTTTTGGGGTATAGGTTGATTTACAAGGCCTCTAAAGACCCTTCCAATTCTGAGATTCTGTGAGGAGTCTGACAGCAAAGGAGCGTCCAGGTTCAATAAGTCTCCTGGTCACAGACCTTAGGGGCCCTTACAGGCATTCTCCTGATGCTCCCTTCCCCATGAAAGGGCATCAGGAAGACACTGGCAACTCTGTTCCCAAAGCCAGGGGTTGGGTTGGAGATATGTACAGCTTTTGGTTTAGGGCAGGAAGATGGGGAAAGAAAGCAGGGGAAGGCAACAGGGCCTAGGTCATGTGAAGGTATGATGGAGACGTCTGTAGATGGAGCTGAGCTTCTCCCTGAGCACAGAGAAGGCAGGCCTCTCCTCAGCATTGCCCTTCCAGCACTCTAACATGAGCACGTAGACTTCAGGGGAGCAAGTGGGTGGGCGAGGCAGCCTGTAACCTCGAGAGATCTGCTGAATGGTCTCCTGATTGGTCATTCCTGGAAGAAACAACATACATTGGGGTTAGGAAAGAAGGAGAGTCAAGATCCAAGGAATCCATCCCCTTCAAGAGGTTTTCCTTAGGAGGAAGACAGCCAAGGTATAGGCTGTCACTTTTCCCAGGAAGACTTCCCTAATTAGCCATATTCGTTACCCATTGTTCCAAAGCACAAAGAGCCTGTCAAAAAATACAATTTCACTGCATCAGTCAATGGTTTGTCTCCAGGGTATTAAGCCTAGCTGACTGAAAGGCTTCCTAAATTGACTCTTCTGGTCTACTGATACTGTGTCTAATTCACTGTGTCTAATTTCATTTTCCTGGGCTTATTTCCTCTCTATCCCCATCAAACTGGAGCTCTTGAAGGTGGAGACTGTATTTTTTTCATCAGGTAAGAGACTCATCAAAGGAAGAAAGTCTTGATTGTTTGCTTAGACCAGACACTGTCTGAGTCAAGAAAATTTCTCCAGCCTCAGATTAGGGAGGCCCAGGAGTATGGAGCCATTTCTCCTCCTCCCTTAGAATTCCCTACAACTCCTAACACAAGCCTGGAAGTCATACTGAAATTGACTGACAAGGAAGTTTTTCCAAATCCATCAGAAGACAGGAAGTTTTGAGCTCTGTGAAGACAATATATTTACATATTCTCTAATTTAATCATAGCCCATAGATCTAGAGCTGGAAGAGACCTCAGAGATCATCTAGTCCAACACCTTCATTTTACAGGTGAGAAAACTGAAGACTTGGGAGCTTAAGAAACTTGCTCAATTAAGAAAGTAAGTGTCAGAAATGGGATGTCTATTTCCTGGGCATGTTTCTTCTCTTCCTCATCAGGTTGGGGATCCTGTAGTAGCAAGGTCCCTCTATTCCCATCCAACTGGAATTCCTGAAGACAAGGGGCTTTTTCCCATCATGTTAAGGACTCCTTGAAGAAGAAAATCTTCATTGTTCAGATCAATCTCTGAAGCAAGTCCCTGACTCAGACTAGGAACTCCCAAGGGATAGCAGTCATGTTTCTTCTTCCTTTAGAATCTTCTACAAAACCTAACACTGACCTAAAGGACATGCAGATATTGACTTACATGGGAGCCTTTGGAAATTCATCCAAAGTCAGACAGGTGTGAGCTCCATGGTAACAGTGGAGTTCAAAGGAGAAGCTAAAGAGAGAGTCAGCTTGGGACCATACCTTCATAGGGACACTGTCCATATGTGAAGACCTCATAAAGCAGGATCCCATAGGACCAAACATCTGACTTCTGTGAGTAGATCCTATAATTGGCTGCTTCTGGTGCTGTCCACTTTACAGGGATTTTAGTGCTGCTTTTTGTGGAATAAATATCATCCTAAAAAGCAACTGAAAAATGAGTCATTCTGGGGGTAAGAGGAGCCAAAATACACCCCCCAGTTCCCCCTCAACCTAGGAACCTTGAAAAGAGAGGACCATCACACACATCACCCCTTCCCACACCTCAGTTAGTTCTGGGCTGCCGATCGATTGGGCCTTGGACTTTGCAACCAACTCTCAATTATTTATGCTGATGGAAACAAAGCAAAGGCACAGATAAACCATGGAGAAACCAAAGTCACTTATGCCATATTTGTTTTAAGAATGCACAATATTATGCCATGTTGACTTTTTAACGATATTTCATTTTGATTTCACTAATGGTCATTTCAGTTCCTGAGCACAGGCTTGAGTGGGTGTTGGGAGGGAGCCGAGACAGAAGACTACTGGAAGGCAAGGAGAATCCACCATAAGTTTAATATGGACTTATAGTTTCAGGAAGTCAGATCTGGGAAGGACCTTATAGCTTATCTAGTCCAACTGCATCATTTTACAAAAAGGGAAACTGGGTCCCCAAAACTTAGTGTCTTGCTCAAGACAAAAATCCTGATACCTAGTTTTAATACTAGCTCTGTTACTACCTGTGAGATCTTAAGTAATTCCAAGGTTCTATGGACCTTACTTTTCACCTTGGTAAAATGGGGAGCCTAGAATAGGTCACCTAAAACCTAAACACCCTAGGAGGCAAGCTCAAGATTCTAATATATGTCTTCTGAATCTCACCTTAAAGACATTTCCCACTGCATCAGAACCAGATTGTGGTCCAGTACATGTTTCATTTATAAACCACATATGATGGAGAAGGAACTATTGCTACAGAAGACAGGATTTAAAGGGATATAGATGGGAATAACTTGGCTAAGGATAGATTGATGGCAGAGGACAAAAGGAGAAAAACAGAAGAAAAACCTGGCCTGACCTTTAGCAGCCTGGCTAGGCCAAAATCTGCAATCTTGCAGGTGAGGTCATCTCCCACTAGGATGTTTCGAGCAGCTAGATCCCGGTGCACAATGTGTCTCTCCTCCAAATAGGTCATACCCTCAGCCACCTGGCAGGCGATGCTCATGAGGCGGATGACACTGAGGGCCTTCCCTTCTGGACCTAAAGGATGAGCAAAGAAATTCAAGGTCATGGTCCTGAGCCAGCAAGGGTGATGAAGGCTCCCTAGGGCTGGGAATCCAGAAACAATGATACCTGCCAAGTGTCCATCATAGGCAGCCAGCATCTAGATGTGAGAGGATCTAGTACAGTAAGTATATTTAGGGATGTGCTGCCATGCATAGATGGAGTCCCCCTCCCCAAGGTCAGATCCAGAATGGTTTATTTTTCAGGGAGAGCACTGAGAGGATGAGGGAACATTGGACATTTCTAGCGCCTGGTACAGGGCCTTCTTCATAGAAGCACCAAGAAAGGGAGCATTGTCAGAAAGCTGCTACTGTTCATTCTTAAGAGTGAGGCCTAAAACCAAGATGGAGGGGAAAAAATGAGAGCAAAGGGGAAGAGAATGTGGTCAAAGAGATGGAAGAGAGACTAATGAGGAGAAAAACAGAGAAAGAGGATAGAGAGGTATGGATGTGACAGGAGATAAAAGGAAACAATCTTGTAAAAGGGATGAAGAAAATGACATGAGGGGAGAGGGTATAGAGGAAGGAGAGTCAGGGGGACATAAGGAGGGAAAGCTGTGGAGGAAAGGGAGAGAGGGACGATGGGGAGATAGAGGTAAGAATGAAGAGAGAATAGAAGGGAGGATGATTCAGGATGCTACAGAGGAATGGGAGGGAGATGGAGAGGAGGCTGATGGGTAAGAGATAGAGGGGAAAGATTCAGGGATAATGAATGAAGATGAGGGGAAGAGAAATAGGAAAAGAATAGAAGGGGGAGGGATGCAGAGGATGATGGGATAGTAGAAGTTCCAGAGGGATGGAACAGAGGATTGGAGGGGAGAAGGCAGGAAAAGAAGGGTCTAGGGAGGGATGAACAGGAGACTGTAGGGGAAGAGGTAGAGAAAAGGACAATGAGGAGAGGAGATGTATGTGGAAGGGGGAATATAAGAAAGGGTATTGGAGTTGGGTGGGGAGGAGGAGAGAGAGAGGGAGAATGTTGAGAGAAAGGTATGGAGGGAGAAGAGCAGAAAAGGCCTTGGGAAAACTGTGAGCCAAAAAAAAGGGGTGTGCTTGGTCCTTGTGTTCTAAAACTTTTCCATAGCAAGATTGTAGGTAGCCCAGATCCTCTGGGGAGCATAGCCGTGGTACTGAGATGATTTCCAAAACCTTTCCAAATTCTTTCACCCTTGGCCTTTCAGGAAGGCTGATTCATCCAGGTAAAGAAAGGAAACTGGGCTTTCTAGGTCAGGACTTTTCACAGGTGACTGAGAATCTGTGGCATTCCCCAAAGACTGCTTACTTACACCCAGGCACCTCCCTTCCATTCATGTCCCTAGTCCCAGGATAAGGTTGGGAAACTGGGAAACTCAGATAATCTCAAGAATCAGGGGAAGGTCACAAGTTGTGGGAGCTAAAGAGCTCACAGCCAGGAATGTCCTACAAACTAGAACCATCCCAATAGTGACATATTGGAGCAGCTAAGCCAAGAGCTAGCCCTTCCCTGGTGAGAGCAAAACTTGTCAAATGGACATCATTTTCCTTCTTAAAATGTGTAATTATTATCGATGTAATCAGAAAGGATTTTTTATCTTCAAAGAGCTCAGTACATGTTTCTTAATTAAGCCCCATAGGTTCTCTGGAAAGTAAATCAGTATCATTAATCCCATTATGCAGGTGGGGAAATAGAGGCTGAGAGGTTGTTACTGTTATCATGAACATCATTATTATCATTAGTGAATTCTTTGTAACTATGGATAGGGCCCTAACAATAGAACTAATGGGCATCTGGGTCCAGCTAGTAGTATCAGGGTCAGAGTTAAGGTTGAGTCAGGAAATAGGCTTCCTCCTCTAGGCCCATGGATGCACCAGAGTATTTACCTAGGCCAAATAGGGGCCTGGTCTCAATATCAAAGCCCCAAAGGGACTAAGGGCCATCCGTTTATCCACAAGGCAGCACTTTAGACTCAGCAAATTTGCCCACGAACCTCACATATAGCCCACAAGAGCATTTGTCTCTGGGCCACCCATCGCATCACACTCTAACCTAGATTATTCTCTAAGTCTTTCGTGTCTAATGAGCTCTCCAGGATAGAGGCTGTGCCACCTTATTCTCCTGTCTATCCCACAGGCTAAGAAGAGACCTCTACTACACATAGCAATTGCTGAATGGATTATCTCTTCATTAAAAGGGGCTGGGGTATCTGCTGAAAGCAGGTGAGCTTTGGGGAGATGAGACTGTGAGGGAAAGACAACAAAGGGGGCTGAGGTGGTTACGAAAGAGAGGGACCATAAGAGACACAAAGAATATACCTAAGAGGGAGGGGCCAAAAGAGGATGAAGAAAGGGAGATCGACAGGGAAGGACGATGGGGAGAACTGAAAAAGGGAACCAGCACCCAATCAATCATCTGTGGGGATTAGGCTTCTTCCTCCACAGTGGACAGCAGGCTCTTCAGGTGTTTGGCTGGCAGAGGAAATGGGGAGAGGGGAACACTCACTGCTGAGGAAGCTCTGGAGGTTCCCTTTTTTCATGAGCTCTGTTACAATGTATACAGGCTCCCCTATGGAGCAGACCGCATGCAAACTGATCAGCTTCTCATGTTTTAGATTCTTTAGGTTCTGAATCTCCTTGGTGAAGTCCTCAAGCTTCATGTCAGCTGCAAGAAAGCAAGCAAGCAAGCATGACCCATGAAGGCCTGGAAGACATATGAAAGAGTGGGCACTGATGGCAACCTCCATCACCCAGGCTCGACCTTCTCCCCAATCACAGCCCTTACAGACCTGAACAAAGAAGGAACAGTAGACTCTCAGACCTTGTCCAGGCGGGTATCGGGGCAGACAATGGCATAAGAGGGGAAAAGACCTGCATTTTCACGCACTTGGCTTTCTGTTACTTTTGACTGGTTAGCTACAAATGTCTGTTAATCAAATTTTCAAATAATATAAATCTGGGAGAGTTAGCACATTTGACAACCATCAAGATATACAGGCCAGAACAAGGGACCAAATCTAATAGAATGGAGTTGAATAAGCATAAATGCAAAGCCCTCCACTTGGGTTCAAAAAGCTAATTGTCTAAGGGGAGAGGAGGTCCAGCCAGAAAAGGTTCTATGGAAAAAGATCTGCAAATTCAATATGTGTCCACCAAAAAAGCTAGAGATTTCATAGCATATTAGTGAAGGCAGAGTGTCAACAAGGGTGGTGATGGCTTCCTTGTCTCTGCCCTGGTCAAACTACATCTAGATAGTGTTCTGTTCTGTGTGTCACATTGTAGGAAGGCCATTAAGAGGCTAAAGCACATCCATAGGAGGGAGGCAAGGATAGTAAAGGGGCTGGAGACCTTGCCATTTTTGAATCTACTGAAGAATCTTAGCCTAGAAAAAAGACATCTTGGAGGGGAGACATGATAGTCATCTTCAAATATTTTAAAAAATCACTGAGGAAGAGTCAATGTTCTGCTTAGTGCTAGAGGACAGAACAAAGAAAAATGGGTAGGAGTTGCTGTAGAGACAGATTTAAGCTCAATGTAAGGAAAGACTTCCTAACAATTAGAGCTGTCAAAAAATAAAATGGACTGCCTTGGGAGGCAGTGAGTTCACCATCACTGTAGGTCTTCCACCAAAGGCTAGATGATCACTTGTTAGGGATGTTGTAGGGTGAGTACCTGTTCAGCATTGGACTGCATGACCTCTGAGGTGCCTTCCAACTCCTGAGAGCCTAGAATTTGGGGAAGTCTAAGCTTCTGGGTCCCATCCCTCTCTGGGTCAGTTGACTCTGTTCTTACCCTGGCTGCAGTCTCCAACCCCACACTGATCCTGGCCTTACTAATTATCTCACTGAAAAACTATTTTCCTTACTTATCAACATGGGGCAAAATGGGAGAGAGTAAAGCGAATCACAGGCCCTGGCTCATCCCTCCCTAAACATACCAGACTTTATGATTTTTATTGCCACCGGAACCTTATTCAGCCACAAGCCTTCCCACACCTCTCCAAAATAGCCTTCTCCCAGCTTTCTTCGAAGGGCAAACTCGGAACGGGGCCGTTCCCATTCATCCCTCTCCAGAGGCCGCTGAGGGATGAAAAGAGACAGACAGAAACAGAGATGAGCAGGGAAGAGGAGGGAAAATGAATAGACCTGGCTAGGTCTGACATGTAATGAGCCTATTTACTTTTTCTGGCAGAAGTGCCTAAAGAAACCTCCCTCCCATACACACACATAGCTGCTGAGCTGAAGAAAGGAAGTCAATGGATTCAAGGTGTATATCAAGGGAAGCTCCTTGGTCCCCTCCCAGGAGGAAGCAGTCCCACAGTGTGGAAAGTTACCTTGCTGAAATCAATGTCCTAACAGGTCTTTCTGGCTGTTTCAGAGGAAAGCAGGATGTGTTAGCAGTCACTATTCCTAAAAGCTGAAACCAAGCCCTCTCTAGATTTCAAGCCTGGTTCCTGCTGATAACCGAGGAGGATAAGCTAAAATCTCATTTCAGAAAAGTTTTCCTCACACTTGGCCTGAAAGCAGGATGTTCTAGGAGTCCCAGATAATTACCCAGGGGACTTAAGTAGCACTTTTCATGGTGTGTGTCCCTCCATCAACCCTTTACAAACATTAATTACTACCTGATGGCAGGTAGAAGTGTTATTATTTCCATTTAACAGCTGATGATGGGGGAATTTTATCATTTCCCTCCTGTATCAGAGCAGGAGAGGAGGCAAACTAGATAAACTGATTTGTTGTCTCTTAGCCCTGAGCTCAAATCCAACAGGTAAAGCAATGTTCCTACCAGGCCTTCCCACCCACGGTTTCCTCTGTTAGGGTAAACGATAGAGCCCAGGGCATCTGGAATTCATTTCCCAGTGGATCCTGACAATGCATAGTCTATGACCTAAGCCCCAGGACTCCAGAATAGGTCAGGAATAGCCCTATCAGCTAATGGGGCTGACATGGCCTCATATACAACTGGTCCTAGTGTGAAAAAAGGGCTTACTAGCCCTTTAACCCTGGTCTCTCCCCCCTCCCCCACATATGGCCTGAGGTGAACACAGGAGTGAGCACACAGAAGTAGGCTTGGTAAATGCTGGTTGGTTGGTTTGTTTCATTGATGCTCTTCAGGCAGCTTCCCTGGGGAAGTGGGAAGAGGGTAAGAAGGAGGGAAGAGGGGAAAGGAGAGTAAGGGATAGGGAGGGAGGTGGGGAGATGGAAGGAGGAAGGCGACAGGGAAAAAAGAAGAGGAAAGGAAAGGGCCCCACCTCTGGCACACAGGGCTGCAGCAGGGGTGTCTGGATAATCTTCCAGTTGGCCTTGTAGTAGGTGAGGAGCTCCTCCAGGCAGGGGAAGACCTGGCCTTTTTGAATATACAGGCCACCCTCTGGGGCCTTGGCAATTCGGTAGTGGCACACCTTGGCTTGTGTGCGAACTGTGGAAGAAATGACAGAGAAGGAAGAAAGAAGAGAGAAGATAGAAGGGGGAGGAAGCAAATGAGAAAGAGAGAAAAAGATGGATGGAAAGAAAGACAGAGAAGAAGAGATTGGGGAAAGGGATGAGGAAGGAAAAGAGAGGTCAGGAAGGAAAGGAAAGGAAAGGAAAGGGAGTGGAGGGAAAGAGTGAGAGAAGGGAACATAAAAACCAAAGTTAGAAACACAAAAACAATAATTTTCTTTCCCATTCCCCTGCCCTCCAGATCTACAGAAGATAGGGCTGTACGAAGGAATCAGATATTGATGTGACTTCGGAAATAGTTAAAATAGAAATATTTAAATTCAAGAAAGGGGCTATCTCCCCCCTTAGCTTAACTTGCAGCTAAGGCCTAGACAATCTTAAATATCCCAGAAAGTATTGTCCAGATATGACATCTCTCCAAGGGGCTACCACCCAAGTAGCCCTTGCCTGCCCTATAGGCCCACAAGAACAGGATGCAAGGAAAGTGCATTTGGAGGGCTGTAGTTTGGGGACAGATCACAAACTGTATCCAGGCTTAAAGATAAGATTTGAGTTTAGTTATAGTTCTAATTCTGTTGGGGGTACCACCATCCTCTTACATCACCAATTTCACAACCCTCAGAATCATTCTGGACTCTTCCTTCTCTTTTACCCTTTATATCCAAGTAAGTTGCCAAATGTTAATTCTACCTCCACCATACATTTTTTATTCACTCCTTCCTCTCCATACTTACAGCCATCACTCTTGTTCATGTAGTCTCACCTCTTGTCTGGACTAATCTACTAACGTCCTAATTGGCCTCCTCCACCTCCAATCTTTCTCCATTTCAGTTCATTCTCCATGCAGTTAAAAACTGGGTATTCCTAAAGCATAGCTCTGGCCATATCTCTGCACAGCTCAAGAAACTCTAGTGGGGTTCTCTTACCTCTAAGATGAAACACAAACTCCTGTTTGGCATTTAAAGACCTCCACAATCTAACTCCAGCCTCCCTTTTGTGGATGATTATTACATTACTCTCTTTCACAGACTTTACTGCAATCCAGCTGAACTAACCTTCTTACGGCCACTTGGATATGACATCCCATGCCTCATCTCCATACGCTGTACCAGCTGTTCCCCATCCACAAAATGCAGTCCTCTTCTTCTTCACTTCCTAAAATCTCTAGCTCTAGTTCAAGAACTACCTCCTATGGTATGCCTATCCTGATCCTTCCAGTTTCCAGGGTCCTCACCCATATATATGTATATATGTATATGTTTATATAGATCTATATGTACGTATGTATGTGTGTATGTGTACACAAGCACATATATGCACATATATGTATATATTGTATTTAATTTTTTATGTATGCCACCATCTTCACCCTGCGAATAATGTAATAATGTAAGCTCTTTGAGGGCAGGGGCTATTTTTTTTTGTTTTGTATCCCTAGAACCTAGCAGAATATCTGGCACATAGTAGACACTTAATAACTGCTTATTAAATTCAGCCTGACCTCTTATAATAAAACCAGCAATACACAAAGCAAGCAGGGAATACTCAATAAATACCTATTAAATTGAATTTAACCCTCTCATTGGTCAGAAGCACTATACTTCCCAGGAAAACAAAGCATTTCATAATATCTAATAGGTAAACTAATGTTAGCCCATTTTACATGGGTTAATTAAAGTATCCAGAATGGGAAAGAATTAGTTCCTGACTTATAGCTAATCAGTGGGTAAACTCTAGGGTCCAGGGTTCTTTTCATTGGATTGTTCTGTTAGAGCCTCCTTCCCTTATGTCATTTATAGCATTTTTTTTTGCACAGGGAAACTCCTCATCCCATTTATTCACCCAACAACAATTTGTGAGGCTCCCATAATTTCAAAATACTGCTGTGACAACAGATGGCTATCACCAGTGACACAAGGCCAAAGACTATGGATGGATCTGTGTTGTCCATCTCACTTTGGGGAACATAACTGAAAGAACTGAATGGGTTGTATTCCTTCCAATTAATCTCCTGAGGGTGTCACCTCCAATCTCAAGTTTGTCCAAGCTAGAATCAATTTGGGTCTGTCCGAATGGATCTCTCCTCCACTCTACTGTGCTCTGTTATGTAAGAGTTCTTGACTATTCCAAAAGCTCCAGAGCCCCTCCAGACACTCACCCAAGCCCTAGACCTTCAGGGGCTAATCTCAAAGTCGAATGGCAAGTTCCTACCAGCTCTAGAGCCCACAATTCTTAGTGTCTTTTACAAATCAGCAAAAGCTACAAAACAAGACTTAATGTATTGTCTTGTTGATTGCTCAGACTTGAGAAAATGATAAAGAAATTGTTTATAACAATACCGATTAAATTTAAAGGGTGTCAGGGGTACTGGTTTTTAAACACTTATCAGAACATCACTGCTCCAAACCCTCCCAGGACAGGATGGCGGGTCCAGGAATGTCGGAAACAGTGAGATGGCTTCTCAGGAAGAGATTACCTGACAGTGAGTAGTCTCCTCGACTACTCTCACTGGGCCGAACCAGAAAGGCTCCGTGCTGGTTGGAGGAGGAGAGCAGAAGTTGTTGGGCCTCACTCCGGCTGATCCCATCAAAATACCACCTGTAAAACAAGCCAGGCAAATAGTGCACTTTAGAAGCCTTGCTGAGGAAGGTCACCCACTTCATCCCCCTTACTTCCGCCATCACCACCACCTGTCAGCCTCCTCCAGGAGTATGGAAGGAGCTATTTCTAGCAAGGTCTCTGACATGTATGTTAGGCTAGTTTGGTTCCCCCTCCCCTCAAAATGGCAAGGTAGCTATCCAGAGACTTGATTGGCTTTGAAGTAGGGGAGGAGATGGCAAAGCTTAAGCCTTAAAGATATATCTCCCTAGTTACCTAAGGGAATTAAAAAACCCCAGCCCAGAAGGAGTCAGTGCTCTAAATTGACAAATGTCCCCATTATGCAAGTCACTGGGCAGCTGACCAAATAGGTAAGGAGGGCTATTTCTATGTGAGCTACTCCTGGATCATTGCAGTGTTTCCTTTGCATGCTATGGAAACCTCTTTTTTTTTTTATTAACTGTTAGATAGACTTCAAAAATCTCATTTTGTTCCAATCTTGAACCTGAACTTTCAGACCAGTTTGAGTCAGGCTTGGCCTATAGGAAGGGCAAAGGGTTAGGGCTGGGGTGAGGGTGTTCAATTCTACCTTTATTATCAGTTCTATCAGTATCAATTCCTGGCACCCCTCAATATAGGGAGACTACCCTAATATGGATAGGCCACCTTCATAGGTCTGCCTAGAGACACCTACTCCACCAGAGTAGTCCAGGATCCCATATCTCCCCTTCTTTTAGAGTTGGGTTCTTAACCGTGGGATCCACATATGGGGAAACATATCTATTTCAATAAAATTGGTTTCCTTTCTAATACTAAGTATTTTATTTTATGCATTTAAAAACAGTATTCTAAGAAGGGGTGCATAGGCTTCATCAGACTACCTATGGGTCCATGACACAAAAAAGGGTAAGATCCCCTATTCCAGAGGAATAGCCCCTACAAACACGTAAATAGTCCAACACCAGTGCTCAGCCCAGTAGAGAACTAAAGAAACTTCTCAGTAATGGTCCATGTGCCTCAGGTCAGGCAGCAACTCAGAATCATTTCTGGAAGTTACTATCCCTCAGGCAGCTACCCACTAGGAAGCAGCAATATAATTCAGCACCTTTCATTGAGCCCCATTGTTTACCCAGCCCTGTGATGAGCTCAGTGGAGACAAGAAGGCACAGACAGACCTTGCCCTAGGTAGTTCACAGTCTATATGTGAACATAAGATTCACATACAAATCAGAAGACAAGAAGGCTGTACATGAGCAAATACCTATTATGTGACATAGAATCTAAATGCTCCAGTGGTTCATAGGAGAGACACACAGGTATAGGCTGGGTACTTGGGAGAGCTTTAATAATAAACAAACAAATAAATAAAGGAGGTGATATTTGAGCCTTGAACAATGGATAGGTAGGATTTGGAAGGGTAAATAAAAGGGGTTAGAGCCCAGGGAGGGGAAGGTAAGGAGAAATAGTCCTAGCAGATTTCTGGAAGGGATTCAGTATTAACAGAAACATGGCAATAGACTTATTGTTCCCAGTGCTTATGAATTTAGGTCTCAGATTCTTTGAATCTAAACTTTTAATGATAGCAGCTGCTACTTGTACTCAATGAGCCTGAGTCATCAGGTGAGGCCTGCTATGGTTGGCTTGGTGCCCAGGAAGGAGTATTTTCTTGTAAGGAAGATGAAAAAGTTCTCTCTGCCCTGGTTCACCAATGTGTCAGATCCACTCTACTCTCACATAGGCCATGAAAGGAAGCACCCCATTTGACTCTGACTCAACTTCCCAGAAAGACAAAGGTATTCCCGCTCTTACCTGTTCTGGGTATTTGACATAAAGCAAGGGTAGTCACACTTCTTTTCATGAGGGCCTAAAGCCCTCCTGCTTCCTCATTTTTTCCAATGGAAATTCTAATCCTTCTCAATTCAATAAATATGCATCAAGCACCAACTTCCTGCTTCCCTGCATGATGGAAAGGGCAATGAAATGTATGTCAGGAGGCCTGTATCAAGAGCCAGCTCTGTCACTCTCTTTACGTAACCTAGGAAAATTTCATCTGTAAAGTAAGGTTGGACTTCATGACATCCAAGGTCCTTCTAGCACTAAGAGCTTATACTAAGACTTCTACACTGCCATGGGAGCTCAGAGAAAGGAGAGAGCAATGGTCTTGGGTGCTTAGGGAAGGCTTCCTAGTTATGGTGGGCTTTAAAGGATGGACAGGGCTTGGATAGAAAGGTCCTTTTGGGGGGGGGTTGAAACATAGATGCCTCTTACACCCACTCACCAATAATGTGAGGCCCATCATTCCTCTATCATTCCCCTAAAGCATAACTTCTCTATTTCTAATATAAAATTTAAATGTATTTGTTTGTCACTTAAAAACCTTCACAATCTGAATGCAGCCTATCCTTTCCAGGTTGATTTCACATTATTCCCCAAAATATGCTTCACTTAACAGTCACACTCACCTACCGCTCTTCCTCATACCCAATATTCCATAACCCAGCCCTGTGCTTCTGCACAGCTAGTCCTTCATACCCAAAAATATTCTCCCTCACCATTTTTACCCCTTAGGATCCTTAAATACTCTTGGAGTGCAAATGAAATGCCATCCTCTGGCATTTTGATTCCTTTTCCAATTGACTCAGCTGCTGTTGCTTTTTCTACCCCCACACCCCTGTCCCCAAATGACTTATTAACTTTATATGTATTTTGAATTTGCGTATGCGTGAAAATGTTGATTCCTCTGACTAAAATATAAGCTCTGTGAGGGCAGGGACTATTTCATTTTTGTCTTTGTATCCCTAAGCTCTAGCACAGTGCCTGACCCATAGTAAGCACTTGATAAATTTGAATTATATTGAATTTTAAGAGAGAAAAGAGGGGGAGTATTCTCCAGGAGAACAATGGGAGCAATGACATGAAGTAGTCGATGAATTTCATGAGTAGAGGACAGTAATAATGTCTGGGGCGATGGCTACTCATAGGGGGACAAAGCAAGTGTAGCCTGCCTTCTGCCACATAGACCTTGAGACCTGGGCATCTGGTCCAAACCACCTGGGCAGCGGCTCATTTACTGTCTTTCCTGCCCAATCTCCCATCTCTGCTCCCCTTGAGGATAACCAAAGGAAGGTTTTGCAAAAGAAATTGCTCCATTGACCATTCCTTCTCTCTCATTTTAATCTCTCCTTCTTTCCTGGTTCTGTCTTCTCTGCCTGTGAGCATGATAAAATGCCCAAAATCTCTTTTGAAAAAAGATAGACAGGGGCAGCTAGGTGGCACAGTGGATAGAGAGCACTGGTCCTAAAGTGAGGAGGACCTGAGTTCAAATCCGGCCTCAGACCAAACACTTGACACTTACTAGCTGTGTGACTCTAGGCAAGTCACTTAACCCCAATTGCCTAAAACACACACACACACACACACACACACACACACACACACACACACACACACACAGAAAAAAGATAGACAAAAAGAAAAAGCTTTATTTCTTCTCCCTTTCCCTCCTTAACTTCTACTAAGCATAGACTATATACTCTACCTCCACTTCCTCACAATCCACTCACTCTTTCACCCTACAATCTGGCTCCCATTCCCATTATCTACCCTTGCCCCTCACCAAGGTCTTCATCCTGTTTGACTCCTCTGCAGGACTCGTCACTGTTGACAAATCCTTCATTCTTGGTATACTCTCCTCCCTTGTTTTCCTTGAAACTCTTCTCTGTTTCCTCCTCATTCAAATCCTCAGGCTTTTTCACTAGTTCCTCTCCCTCCTTCCACTCCCTAAGTATGAGCATTACACACACACACACACACACACACACACACACACATATACATCCCTCTACCTTCATCTCTCTCCCCTTTTCTCTCTACAATATTTTCCCTATCTCATCTACTCCCATTGCTTCAATGATCACTTCTACATTCCTGATTTCCAGATCTATCTATTCAGGCTTGATTTCTTTCCTCGGAGCTCTGATTTTACATCCCCAGTTGCCTACTGGGCATCTCCACCCGAATGTCTCACTAGCCTCTCCAATTCAACATATCTAAAACTGAAATTATTATATCACCCTTAAACCTGTTCTTCCTCTTAACATCTTCATTTCTGTTGATGCTGCCACTATCCTCCCAGTCAGTTGGGCTAGAAATCTCAGTTATCTGGGATTCTCCTCTCTCCCTCATTCTCTATGTTCAATCAGTTGCCAAGTCCCATTGATTATACCTCTTCAACAGTGCTCATATTCACTCCTTCCTTTCATCACTGCTATAACTTCAGTTTAACCTCATCATCCCCCCCCCAAATTGTCGAAAGAATTGCACAGGTTGGACCACATCACTCATCTGCTCAAACATTTTCAATAGCTTTCACATACACATTATTATATTAACTCCTCAGCCTAACTTTCAAGGTCCTACACAATTAAACTTCAGATTACCTTTTAAGCCTTATTTCATTCTATTCACCTTCAGGTACTCTTTGTTCCAGGCAAACGGGACTATCACACCTTGTCTGATCTTATCCTGACCTCTCCTACGACCTTGTATTTCTGATAAGCTATCCATCATGCCTAAAACACATCCTCTCCACATTGAAATAATTTTCCTCCTTCAAGGCCCAGCTCAGGCATCACATCCTCCATGAAGCCTCCCTTGTTTCCCCACCCCCTCAATCTGCTAATGATCTCACCATCTGCAAAATTCTTTTAGCTTTCTGTTCAGAGCTTTTCTTTGTACTTATGATCTACTATCTTATACCATACATGGCATCACAGAATCATAGATTTAGAGCTGAAAGAAAGCCTAGAGATCATTAAGTCTAACTTCCTTATTTTTACAGATGAGGGAACTCAAGCCCAGGTATGGTAATTAACTCTTCCAGAATTATGCAGGTCATGTATAACCCATATCAGATTGCTCGTTGTCTTGGGGAGCAGGGAGAGAAGGGAGAAAAATTTGGAACTCAAAATCTTTAAAAAAAAAATGAATGTTGAAAATTG